AAATGTCAATGATACAAGATAAAATAATTGAACTGGGTTCATTACTCATAAAACTTGAAGTAGTTCTGGTGCTTATTCTTATCCAATACTCTATAAAACTTAGATCATTTTAAAGTCCAACTTGTTTCAAGCACACAAAGGTCCCCATATCACTTTTCTTGGTAATTGTTAAGTAACATTCTCCTCGTGACAGGAATCCAAAATTACATTATAAAATGATGATTGTTATAAAATGTAGATGCAGTGGGTCCAAATTAGAGTGGAAATCACAAAATTTAGAAGAAAACCTTTTACTAAAATATAATAAGTACAGAAAGCAAAATGAAATCTCTTACCTTCAGGGGGTTGTAAGGTGTGGTTATTTTCAGAACACCAGCCAATAGGATGTATTTCAGATGTCATTAAATCACACCAGAAATCAGAGGAACCATCATTATCATAACCATCATATCGTAATCGTAGTAACTGACCACAAGTCATTACAACAGATGCCACCCAATAGGTATCATTTACTGTTTTATTAGGTACTTCTAATTTCATTCCTTTGACAAAGCCACTTTGTAGACTGCATTCCACCTGTAAATATAATATTTGAAGGGAAATAAACAAATTTGTTTGATCAAGGAACTAAAATATAACTTGCCAGACAAGGTAAACATATGTCCACATAGCAGCTTTGTTAAATTTTTAGACTCAATAAGGAGCAACATGAACCATAATGATTAATCTGTCAACTTTCTATTCAATACACCTAATCAACTCTGTACTCAAGACCTTATCAATTCCAATGATACCACAAAGTTTCAGTGGAATGAAAAATTGTCTCTATTGAGCGCATGAACAAATTTGCCCTTTTATGTCAAGGGCAATAACTCAAAAACTTTTAGTCAAATGCAAACTTTTCCAATATATATTAAGTATGAGTTATTGCCCTAGTTCTTGAAAACGTGTTCAATCTTTAGCTTGCGAAAATTCTAGAAGGCAAATATTCAATCTTCAGGACTGAATAATAAAACCAAGTTTTGTCAAAAAAGGGTTCATCCTTGGGTGATTACGAACATTCACACCAAGTTTCATCAAAGTGATTATGTGCTAAAAATTGAACGTGTTTTCAATAGCAAGGGCAATAACTCATACTAAATATTTTTCTGATTTTCAATAGGGTTTATCCTTGGGTGATAACAAACACTAATGCCAAGTTTCGTCAAAATCCGTCAAGAATTGTCCCTTCTAGAGTATTTACAAGCTAAAATTTTAACGCGTTTTCAAGAACAAGGGCAATAACTCATACTAAATATTTTTCAATTTTTCTGTTTTTCAATACGGTTTATCCATGGGTGATAACCAACACTCATGCCAAGTTACTCAAAATCCGTCAAGAATTGTGCCTTCTAGAGTGTTTACGAACTATAAATTGAACGCGTTTTCAAGAACAAGGGCAATAACTAATACTAAATATTTTTCAATTATTCTGATTTTCGATAGGGTTTATCCTTGGGTGATTACAAACACTCACACCAAGTTTTGTCAAAATCCATCAAGAATTATGCCTTCTAGAGTGTTTACAAGCTAAAATTGAACGCGTTTTCAAGAACAAGGGCAATAACTCATACTTAATATTTTTCAATTTCCTGATTTTCGATAGGGTTTATCCTTGGGCGATAACGAAAACTCATATAAGTTTCATCAAAACCCGTCATGAATTGCACCTTCTAGAGTGTTTACGAGCGTTTCAAGAACAAGGGCAATAGTAAATATTTTTCAATTCGTCTGATTTTCAATAGGGTTCATCCTTGGGTGATTACAAACAACCATACCAAGTTTCGTCGAAATCAGTCAAGAATTGTGCCTTGTAGAGTGTTTACGAGCAATTGTGGACGGACGGACGGACGGAATGAGGTGACGGCAATATACGCCCTCATTTCATGTGGGCGTATAAAAAGGTGTTTATTGAGGTCATTCATCACAGATAAATATTAATACCTATTGATTATACAATAGGTAAATTTATTGAAGAAAGATACCTCTGGTTAATTTCCCATGTCTATCACAAGACATGAATCAATTTTATGTTTACAAAATAATATTATCCAGGATAACTTAAAGGCTCTAGAGTTATTCCCCGAACTAATAAGGCCACTAGAGGGGCTGTAATCAAGCTACTTCCTCTTTCTTCAAGAACTTTCAAGGTGATAAGTCACATGGATTGAGCTCTAAGCTTTCATAGTCATTTATCGAGTTATATGCTTAAAGAATTATACTACAATTGTCTCTTATTGAAAGGTGTGGCTTTTGTACCCTGAAAGTTCCCTAAAAGAGCAGATAGAAAGTTTTATTTGCATAGATCTAGGCCTAACTAACTGCACTGTCGAGCTGGAGACAGGTTCAATCTAAAAATAGAATAATACTAGAGCCACACTGGCACAGAGTGGGACTTTGCAAATGTAGCAAATTGCAAAAGACCCTGAAAAAATAAACCTTCCATGATAATTAGATCATGTGCAAGAACAGTCTAAAGTTGAGAAATTTTCATTTTTTAAAAGATTCTAATACCAGAAGTAGACGTCAGACCTCACAAATGAAAGTATCAGCAGATAGCCAAGGTCAATGACCTTTGATCTTGTAAAGGAGAAGGTCTAAAAAGGTCAAGATCAAGAGATACACGTCATCAAAATTTCTTATTGCACATGACTATAAAACCGGAAGTTGACAGGAAAGCAGGAAAGCAAATATAAATGTATAAATAGATAGCCAATGCCATTTGATCCTACAAAGGTCAAGGTCAACAAAGGTCAAGGTCAAAAATTGAAAATTTTGAATTTCCAAAACCTGTTCCTTTTTTTGAACTATGAAGCGGAAACAACCGAACTTCTAAGACAAAGTGGCTCAAAACATGAGATAATTGTATGCAAAGTTCCATTTTGAACAAACGTATACTTTGCAAGTTATGCTCCTGGCCAAAAATGTCAATAATGAGTAATATAACCCAGATGTGCCACGCCGACCTTAATTTTTTTGCACAGGGTAATTGATATTCTAAATGTTATGTTGTGTTTTAAATTTCAAGCTTCTACATTATTCAGGTCAAAAGATATAGGTCAACAAATGTCAACAAAGGTCAAAATCGAAAAAATGAAAATATCCAAATGTTAAAACCCGTTCCTTTTTTGGAACTATAAAGCTGAAACAACTGAGCTGTTAACACAAACTGGCCAAAAGGATGAGGTAATTGTGTGCAATGTCCCTTTTTTAACAAACGTATCCTATGCGAGCTATGCCCCAGCCCCAAAATGTAAACAATTAGTAATTCAACCCGGATGTGCCAAGCCCACCCCAATTTTTTTATCATAGGTGAATTCATATTCAAAGCATGAACAAATTTCAACCGAAAGTTGCAAAAAAGCAAAAGCGAAATTCAAAATTCGGCTCTCAATGTTTTTTGTGCAATCGATTGCGGAATACATTCACATCAAATTTGAGCACATCGAAAATCGGCTCTAGAAGGCGTATTTTTGCATCGATTTTCTTCGGGTTTTCATTTTTACAATCTACCTGTAATTTCTGACCTGATAGCACTTGAAAAATTACGAAATTCGAATATTCGTCGCTCACTTTTTTCGATCAAATTTTTCCATTTTTTTGCAACTTTTTTGTTTTTGCATCGATTGATCTGAAATTTAATATGCAAATAATACGTAGTTGTCAAATATTTAACTTTACTTTCGGTTTTAAACGGGGAATAAATGGAAAGTACAATACACTTCCGGTCGAATAACTTCTGGTGTAATTGAAATAGGTCAACGAAATTTATGCTGATCGTAAGTAAATGCTATTACAAAAAAAACGAAGAAAAAAAAATGCAGACCGGAAGTGATACTTTTTTTTAAATTGAAAAAACACACTTTTGTAAAACTTTTTTTTTTTTTTTTTTTTCAAATTATAATTTGATTGGTCAGACAACTA